ACGTGTTGTTATAGAGCAACAAGTATAAACACAACGTTAAGATTTGCATTTCAAAATGATGCCTCTGAATGGATCTTGGATGATGTGAGTGTGCAAGGGCCAGGCTCAAATGTCATAGTGAACGGTGGATTCGAATCTAATTTAACAGGTTGGACATACAGTAATCCTTCGGGAACTGGTGGTTCATCGGCAGTTCAGACATATACACCTAGGAGTGGGCTTGCATATTATAACGCTGCAGTGAGTGGCAGTGCCGATTATCTATCTCAAGTGTTTCCAACAGTAATAGGACAAAATTACAATGTCAGTTTCTACTTAGGTAACGATGGAGGGACAAATGGTCTTAGTACAGTTTGTTCTGCAGAGGTTTCTATTAATTAAGAATACAGCAGAAATATTAAATCACAGTTTTGGCGGCTGTTTAAAGTTGTAGAGTTAATTATTCAAAGCTAACTATGGTAGTTCTGATCAAAGACGAACATAATAAAATAAACCCACCTGTGTACGAGAAGAAAATTTCTTGGATTTAATCGCCCAAGTGTATAGTTACAAAAACACTGCTTCATCTCAAGAAGGGACTCATTTAATTTTAGCTCTGCTCTATACTTTCCAAGTGCGGAAAAAGTTTTGAGCATTGCCCAATGTAACTCAATCGTCGAGTTAAATTTGGTGCATTCAGTTGTATTCGATTATACATCGAGTAATGCAGCATGCTAACTGAAGCAAGTGAACTGAAGCAACTCTAGATGAAAAAGTTAAAAATAACGATCCATACGTCTGCTAAAGCATTTAAATATTTTGACTGAATAGCTTTTGCTTGGGTTTGTTCTCATCTGTTTTTCGCTCCTACTGGCACATCTCAAGCACCAACGGCACTCGACAATCGCCGTTTTTAGCATACAAATTTTTCGCGCCGAATACGGAATTACTTGTAAAGGCTTTTCTCAACCGTTGTAGTACGTATAACTGCATTTTTCAAATATCTATTCGACTTAAGTCTAGGGTCTTACAAAACAGTTGTCTATGTGTCTGTGCGCAAAATATGGAAAATTGGCTGTCAGGTATTCCATGGATAAGCCATGATGACAAGAGAGAAAAATAGAAAATTCTTTTTTAACCCTGAGAAAGCAAATATTCAAAGAAATGGCGGAAATATCTCCAAAAACAGAGAAAAAAAGCTAAGCAAACTTTTTCTCTGCTTCGGGAATAGATGTAGCCAGAAATCCATCATTTTTGATAACACAAAAAAGTCGTATACGGATAATAAAACTTACAGGATATAAATAGCCTATCGTGGCGAATCAATCAGGCACACTTCTAGCGCCCTTCGGATCTTTAGAGGGTGTCCAGAAAACATTTAACTTTATTCACATTGTTCGCTTTTTCCGTGGAATGAGAGAAGTTTACAATATTTCTTAGCTATCTGACGTGGGAACGCCGATCGAAAGGAGACGTGAGCATTGTCCTGAATTTAGAAATATTTTTAAACCTCTGAGGATGTTTGAAGAGTCTAGAGAAAACGTTTAAAATTTACATTAGATTACGAAACTTCTAGCTGAAATCAAAGAAAAAATCATAACATATTTAGATAATCCTCTAGCGAACGTCGCACAGAAGGCAATTTTGACTAGGCACGTGGACATGTACCATAAAAGTCATATGCAAGCCTTTAAACGCTATTTTCATAGGTTTCGTATGCGCTCTTTCCGATGGCGTGCTTTACAATTTCAAAGATATTTTTATCACGGTCTTTCGGAGATCCGATCTCTGGCAAACTGGACTAAAGTGTTTTTGAACTTTGTAGATCACGCCATTGGAAAGAACGTATACGAAAACCTCTGAAAATAAGTTTCGTAGGCTTTCAACCTGCTTCTAAATCAAGAAATCTACTGCTTAGTCAAAATTGCTGCGGGAATGCTGCAAATTTATCATTTCATTAAATCGAACTAGTTTTTGTGCATAAAAACATACAAATGACATATCATTCGATGCAGTTTGATGCGCTGATTCCAAATGTGTCGTGTTTGTTGGAAAAAATGTTTTTGAACCAAGAAATATGGAAAATACGTAAAAAACGAAGGTTTCTTTTGGTAAACTTACTGTACGATCCGGGAGCATTTATGCATGTTTATGCATTCACCATAGATCGAGGACATCTAGATAGACATTCTTTAAAGGTTTGGACGTTTTTGGATCTGCGCTAACCTGCGTGTTCTCACTTTGCTAAATGTGGCTGTTTGGAATAGGTATATCCCGGCGTCGGTTTAACCGACACCGAAAAACTCTCATGCATTTTTATTTAAGGTTTTAAAATGATATAAAGGGTGAGCGCATAACATCTATTCACTATTGTCAAAGAAACATCTGATTTTATCTGTACCGGTTTCGATCAGCCGACAATTAAAAAGGTAAAATCGCTAAAACCAGAAAAAAGCACACAAATCTACATCTTGGCTTAACGAACGAATTTAATATCTGACGTTTGCCCTTAGTGAATGACGTATGCCATATGTTTCTTCAGACAATGTTTGGTTTTTTCGGTGTCGGTTTAAACCAAATATCGGTTTTTTCGTGTCGATTTTTCGGTTTAAAAACCTAAACTGGTGTATATCTAGTTTGGGAAATCACTTGAGAAAAAACTTTCGTTTGTTTTCTCAGCTATCTTAAATGCAAACTAAACATTTTTTTACGAATCTGTAGCTGTCATCTTACAGATATAGAGTATATGTCGTTTTCGGGTATAAGTTCAATGACTGTTATGAGATTTTACTTTTCTTATCGATACTACTATTTTTGGGCGAATTTTTGATTAGCTATTTTCTGACGTAACGAAAATTTCGTAATAAAATCTTTTATGCGATCGGATAGGGCATGTCTTGAACTATATTGTTCACCATGTGAATTGTCAAAAAGGCGATTTTCATTTTTTCACCAAAGCTTGCTTGTCCACTGTGCGCCGATCGAAGGGAGATGTTAGTGTTGTTTTTGATGGAAAGTGTCGGTCCCAGTTATAAGTTCCTAAAGTCAAGGGACCGAGCGAGTGCAGGCAAGCATTACGTTGTTTTCAGTCGACTATGCAAGCTCTTTCTTCTAAATGCACTCATACTTTTTCCCGATTAATCAGAATCAGTATTATCAAGATTAGGCCATATGATTGTTCAAGTTTCAATAGAATGAATCTAGAATGATGTCACTGGTGTGATGCGTTTTGAAGAAGGTCTATAAAAAGTCCACTATCAACAACCATCAAAGCTGCATGATTATGTGACTTACAGTATATGAGAATACTTAGTTTTCCGACTTTTTCCGACAGTGCCATTGAACATTATTAAATGTCAGTCAGATCTATTCAAAAAGGAAAAATACTGGATGATCTCATTATTTTAACGGGAGTGATTGTTGAATGTGATGTTGCATAGAGTAGCATACGATCTCACATGTATCTTGCAGATAAAGAATTTGTACTGGGATGGCAGCAAGATCAGTGGCAAGTACATTCATAGATTAATAATTACTGATTCACTATGTCCCTAGAAATTTGATTAACTGTTGAGATAGAAGAAGTCAACTATACGTTACTTTCCTTCAGAGGTGCAACCGGTACCGATACCGGTATGAATTATAACGCCGACCAGTATACCGGCATTAGTATGAGGTATAATCGGGCGGTCGACATTGTCGGTATTTTGCGGTATGACGCGATTTTTCGAAAAACATCGTGTACATTCAGTTCATCTGTGACATATTTCTTCCACTAAAATTTCATTCCAATTACCTAAACTTAGTCGGGTTATATAAACTTCTTAATTTAAAAAATTGTATTGGGCTGATGTTTTCGTTAAAAAAGAGTGTGTGAAAAAGCACCTATACATAATCACAGTGAAAAGATTAATCTTTCCCTTTGATAGCATAAGTGATTGATCAAAAGAAGAGTAATCGTTTTTTTCACTGAATATTAACAGACTTCTTCACATCCATGACACGGAAAAAGTATTTGTATTTAGGCAAAACATGATCAAGACAAGCCGGTAGCGACCGACAAACCGATCATCGGTATACCGGCCGGTACTGGTACGAGGTTGGTATACTGGTGACCGGTACCAGTATCGCATTTTTGATACTGATTACACCCCTGCTTTTCTGTAGGTAAAAAGTCGCTAGGTCATTAAAGTCTGTCAGTATTAAACGCTTTTTACAATTAGAGATGTATTATTACTTCTTACCCGTTACATTTTCGGTAAAAAGTAAAGTAATATAACGTATTGCGATGAAAATAAAGAAAATAATTATTTATTAGTTACTTTTGTAAACGCAGATGGGCATCTAGCATTCTCGGAGGAAAAGTGAGTGACTGTTGTTTCATTTTACGATTTACTTGACAAAGCAGAAAAAAACGTAAAATGATAATCCTCTCTATATTTTGCACTATCGAATGGAATAACAGTACCTAACCTTTGATTTCAGTATTTTAAACGAAGTTATCACACTGAGTGACCGACATCTTATGAAATTGATTGAGTCCTATGAAACATGTGGGCCTACACACCGGTACATTAAAATCTGGAAATAGGTAAAGCGAATAAAAGAGATTCTTTCAAAATGCTAGTCAATATTATCCTAAAACCCTGCTCAAATGACTCTACAAAGATACATGCAAAATCACAATGCTTACTATCGTTAGGAAATGTTTCACATTCTGCAGGTTGCGATGAAGGATTAAGAATTTTGTTATATGATGAAGACACAATGTAAAGAGGAGATAGTAGGTTCACTGCATGAGAGTAAAAGGCTAGAGATCACTTCAGTGTTATAAGCATCGGTTATCAGTTTCGTTATGTGCATACAGGAATTAGATAAATAAAATATGAATTGGTTTGTCACATTCTCTTCTTTGTAGCAAGAACTTTCTTATTCCTATCAAATATTTTACATAAATGGATAATCACAACGTGTTATTCTGTTTGAAATAAACAAAATGCTTCGTCTACATGTTGTTGATTTTAATTCATTTCTAAAATGCATCTTGATCCTTCATAGATTTCTGCATTACTACGGCATGGTGTAGAAACTGGTCTCAATGCCCATGTTTTCATTTTGAATGTGGCAATCATAAGTTTGTATGCAGCCTCACAGGCCAGAATTTGTGAATCACGATTTTTATTGTAGGCTAATAGAATATCATTCCAATAGAGTATACAAAAATACTCATCATTAATATATAGCTGTCGAACAGTAAATCCTTGTTCATAGCCATCTATTCCTTGCATCATATGTTGTACACTCGGCTGAAGTTACCAAACAAACTTTTGCTTAGAGAGAAAGTGGCTATTTTGAACAACGAACTGACTTACAAGATACATGCCATCCAGTCGAGCACGAGCCATTGTCTGTGCAAGCGGTAATAGTTTTTGCACATCATTTTGTGTGCAAGGATCTATCGTCATATGCTCAGGCGTAGGTGGTGAAGGTGACACTGGTGTTAAAAAGGACGCGTTATTAATACGAACACATAATAAACAAATAACTAAAACTAATTGACGAAATGAAAACATAATTCTGTATATATACAAGTGCCACAACAATATTTTGAAGAAAAAAAAAGAAGTTAATGAAAATCTTTCACAAAAAACAATGGCGCCGCTTTAATATTGTAACTAAGCTTGAAACAAATACACAATAATATAGACGTTCCACGATGACAATTTAACAGGAATTACTCTATGCAATCTTCTAAGAAAAGCGTAATGTCAGTTCAAAGACTGCAATATTGGACTTTACAAACTATGAGAACTTTCATACTCACACAAGAATATTCAGAACGATGCAAACATTGAGAAGTTCGACAACTTTGAACACATTCATTACTAACGAGTGGCCTAGAATAAATTGTACCAACTGTTAAAGCACTTTCCTATAACTTCCTACGCATAAAAGAATTTCCTTTATATGTCAAACAATAGAGATTTAATTCTCTACTAGACTGGATATTCATTTCGAAGATTCAACTTTGATGTTTGGCGCAGTAATTCGAACTAGAAACGCTTCAAGGTTTTTAACTGCATTTTTTAAAAATTCGATTTTTTAAAAATCACTTATTCAACGAAACAAGGTATAAAAAAACATTTAGCAAGGAATTCTCTACAAAATGATGAGTGTTTTAAATAAGAAATACTAATTCTTTCGATGAAATCCGAACATAAAAGATCGTATTCTCCTTTTTCTGGGGTCCATCTTACGACAGAACATCACCAACTATCTCTTCGCTTTTTTAATGAAAACCGTATGATTATAGGCTGTCAATCAACTTCATTTCTAAGGTTCATTCTTGATGCTTGACGTAGTAACTCTAACCCGAAAGCTTTCTAATTTTGTAAATATATCATGCGGTTGCAACGTGCAAACTGCTCTCTGTTTTAACTGTTTATAGTCAGTACAAAAAAATTGAAATAATTTTGTTGGCGTCGAATGATGCAAAATTTCATGCTTCACAAAGTAGTTTACCTGAAGTTAATTTATTTTAATTGCGAATGACTTTTAGTAGATGAACTTCCAAGTCCAGTGAAGTTTCTAGGAATAAAAAAGCTTTTTGACTATTTCAGTATAAAATTCAACGTTAAAATCGTTAATTTATAGACAAAAAAATCAGAATTTCGCGCTCTATTGAACCGTGTAACTTACAAAATAAAACTGCTATTTTTTTCATCTGAAAAACGAGCAGATACTAGATGTTTCTAACGAGAGAACATCACCAACTGCCTCCTCGCTTTTTTAATGAAAACCTTATGATTACAGGCTATCGACGGCGCTGATTCCAAATATGACTATGTGGACGGTAGTTAGACCTTCGGAGACACGGTTCTCTATGGCGAAAATGTTTTTTTACTAAGAAAGATTTTTGATATATCCTGATTGTAGAGCACATCAAATTGTCTATAAAACACTCATTTTTTTCGTTATAAACCGATTAAAGAATCTTATATAGCCGTTAGGGATTTCTAAGCATAAAGTTCTGAAGTGAGTGGCAAGCGCAGTTTTGCTATCACCCTATTACCAAAGTATATCAACTTTTCAACTGTTGACAATTGAAACGAAAGCTGAGTATCACGTATAACAGCATCTGGGAAAAAAGCTTTACAGATACGAGGTAAAAAAATTAGTTAGATTAGGGAGCCGTCTGGTGCATTTAATTCCTTGATTTATATTAGGTGTTCGTGGGTGGTAAGAGTTACTGCTACTAAATATTAATTGTTTCACAAGTTTTATTTCCTTTCTGTATGCACACATTTTGATTTTCTATCTCCATCTAGGCTGAGCTCTTCGAGCTGAGAAAGATAAACATGGCTTAAATGTCATGGCCAAGGTCCCTAAAAATCCCAGTCATATCGTAATATCTTTAGATGATTTACCAATGCAGTTAGAACTGCAGTTATCATAAAATCACAATTATTAGTATACCATCCTCTATAATCGGTTTATGACGAAAAAATGAATATTTTATATACAACTCCATATGCCCCACAATCTGGATAGATCAAAAATCTTTTTTAGTACACAAAGATTTTCACCATAGAAAAATGTTCTTTTTGCAAAACTTTTATATTTAAAAATTTTGGAGCTTTTCGAGTTAGAGTTACTACGTCAGGCATCAAGAATGAATCTTAGAAATGAAGTTGATTGACAGCCTATAACCATACGGTTTTCATTAAAAAAGCGAGAAGATAGTTGGTGATGTTCTGTCGTAAGATGGACCCCAGAAAAAGGAGAATACGATCTTTTATGTTCGGATTTCATCGAAAAAATTATTATTTCTTATTTAAAACATCATCATTTTGTAGAGAATTTCTTGCTAAATGTTTTTGTGTAAGATGCACGCAAAGCAAAAATGCAGTAAAAAAATTATTTTTTTACATACCATACACCATTCGATAGAGAATTTCAAGGCTTACCTTGTTTTGTTGAATAAGCGATTTTTAGCGAGGTTTTGCTTAAAAAATTGAAGTTTTGAAAATGCAGTTAAAAAAATTTGGTGTAGTTCTTGTTCGAATTACTGTGCCAACAACTGCGAAATAGTTTGTGGAGTAAGGAAAACAAAAATGAGTAGCTTTAGAAAAGAAGGTACCGATTACATATTAATTTCACAACGATAAAGCCGATCAACAACAAAAGTAAAACATTCGAGGTATTATGATTCCATTTTCCTCACATTATGATTCCATTATTACAATAACTTGTGAATTAACTTTGTTGCAATGTCTTCTCTTTACTGAATTAGGTGACGCATGTTTCTCTTGTCAGTTGTTTTGTCTACAGGTAAACCCACTTGTAAATACACTTCCAGTTTATCGTACCTGAAATACACTTTTCTCTTGTACTGCACACCCACGATGTTCGAGTTAGTAAGCGGAAAGTACGGACAAGTCCTGTACTTACGCTGTAATCATGACTTGCTTCTATCACACATTAGATTAAAAATGTTCTCTTCCTCATTTTATTTTTCACTAGTGAAAAACAATGTTTGTTGTAATTGTTATAATTTAAATAGTAGAATCATTTAATGTTATTACAATCAATGGTATTGGTCCACTAGAGTAGTCTTTGAATGGATAAGTCTGATTTTTTTTCCATAGCCATGTTGACGGATCAATAGAAGTAAAAATTTTACCACCGATCAGTTTTTTAGTGTATATATGCGTAGTTGCCGGATGTGACGTTTCAACAATCACATACTGGAATCCATACATTTTTCGAGCATATTTACAAACACATTGTCGAAGTTTGATTCCAATACCTGAAACAAGTTGAGAAGTAATGTACTTGTTTAGCACTGACGGGTTTGTGAGATTGCGAAAATTTTATTTAGACGTGATCGAGCGGAGTATATGTTCTATACCGTGAATTCTGATGTGGGCTCTCAAATAGCCCTCCTATAAGATCCTATTACCGATTTTTGAAACAACTCAGATTGGAGCGTCGGTAATAGGATCTTATAGGAGGGCTATTTGAGAGCCCACATCAGAATTCACGGTATAGAACATATACTCCGCTCGATCACACTAATAATATATCTAATATGTCAAACTGTGTTCATTTTATGTGTCTTCTAATTTTTTCTGAATTAAACCTCAAAATTAAACCTTAACTATATATTTTGATAATAGCATTGTCAAGCAATTAATCACTCGTTCAACCAGTAATTACTAACAGTTATAGACGCTATAACCCGTTACACATTTCACTATTCTTTTGTTACGTATTTTCCTTTTTTGACTTTATTTTTCGTTTTTCTCGTTCGCTTCAGTGTATTTGTTATATACACAAAACAACTGTTAGTTAGTCTTTTCTTTTCTTCAAGGGACCAGTGTGTTATTTAGTGTGAACGACTTTTCTATTAGTCTGCTCTCTCGTTTTATTTTCAAGACAAAAAACATTGTCCTTCCCGGAATGCAGGAAAAAAACTTCTTTCCTCCAGAGTGTACAGGCAAGTCGTTTTTCTTCTTCTGTTGTCTGTGCAGCAGAAACGAAGGTGAACAAAGCTGCAACCAGCTTCAGAAGGTCGCAGATTCCATTCAATTTACAATGCAGATGAACAGCTCTGGATCATACAATTGCAACACAGTGTATCCTGCCTTAGCTATCGAGGGTTTTGTGGTATAATACTATATGATATTACGGACTTCATCAACTTTGTTTCTTGTTTACCAGCATACTATATACTACCCTACCGTTTCATTATAAACTGCACTGTAAAAAATAAAGTGTGTCGTGGACACACTGGATGTGCCCATCACATTGGACTGTTTTTGCATACTGAAAACAGCTTGTGCAGTGTGCTTGTAATACACTTGAATTGCACATATACACAAGAACGGGAAAAAAGACCGAAGAGAAGACTAATTCTTCCGTTTTTTCTGTAGAGAGAAATGCAAGCTAAAAATTCAGATTGCACAGTGACAATTCGCACATCATTTTGGATTCGAAATGTACACTAGCGGGCACACTTTGTTTTTTACAGTGTACAGCTTCATAACAAAATTGTTTTTTTCAATCATTGCTCAATTTTTCCCCATGATAAATTGCTCTCATCTGTAAAGTGTTATAGAATACCCTACTGATCTGCCGCCTATGCGTCGCAACAAAACGTGTCGCAATTGTTATCAGAGAAGTGTGTCGCGGTGTAAATGTCACAGTTGTCAACGCCCTAAAGACGTAGATTTAACATCGATTTTAGACTCTCTTGTGAAAAAAAGATCATTACATCTCTTATTTCAGTCTCCTTCGCTATCCATGCAGAAGTTCTTTGATATCACCTGAAACCAAACATACACTAGATGGCGCTAATAAAGGAAAAGAGTGACTTATTAAATTTTTAAATGTGATGATTTACTACAACATTGTTTTCAGATATAGTTCTCTATTTACCTTTTCCACAAAAATCTTGTTTAGTTGCACCGTAATAAACATGTAGAATTGTTTTTTCTTTAAATTTATTTGTTTTTTGAAATTCAACTAGAAATCGTTCATCTAACTCTGCCAATAAATCAGTTACTGGATCATCGTCTTCATAATATGACGTGTGTTGATGTTGTAGATACAAGTCCCCGCTAAGTAAACAGCTGACAATCTGATTCGTTTGTTTGTCAAAAACAATAAATGATAATTGTTCTTCTAATAGTGATTTGATAAGCGGATGAATATAATCGTAAAATTCTTCTTTTGTCATTTTGGAATAAAAAGCAAGGGGTTCATTGTCGACAAATGCTTCTGATATTAGTTTTGCACATTCTTCGACATGAGTTTGTCTCAATAACTCGTAAGAATAGTCAGAATCTTCTTCAATCATATCTAAAATGTATACAAAAATCAGATTTTAAAAGCTAACCTGTCCAAGTCGACTTTCTTGCTTCATTCACGGCGCAAATCCCAATCGCCTAACTCACGCCGCGACCGCTAAGAAGTCACTGCTGCGCGATCACGACTAACTCATTTTTTATTCGTGTTCACGGAGCGATAATGTTTTCTTACAGTGATCGCACTCTGATGTAAAATCGCGCAGCGGCTAGCGCAATGATAACTTTTGTGATTAAGTTTTAAAATCGCGGCGCAACCGCGCTTTTTTCTTGGATCCGCTATAAGTACCTCAGTGCGATTTTGTTATATTTCTTGAAAATCAACAATTCGACTTTCTTGGTTCATTCGAGGTGCGTACACGGTTT